TCTTCGACTACCAAGCCGTCAACTTTCGTACTTATTTCCCAGCTAACTACGCAGCTGCAGGTCTTCCACCCCCAGCATACCGTTGACATATTTGGCGACACTTGACTTGCATCAATGGACGGCTCAGCTCCAGGTACATCCGTTTAGAACCATGAGATGGATTGCAGATTCCGGACTAAATTTAAATGGAAGTTAGGGAATTACTAACTGTGTTAATCACTGAAAGAAACTTGCTGAAATATTAAGTCGTGAATCCTGGATAATGAATGACTCCTTCTACTCTGTCTATTATTTGCACCTTTAAACTAACGTCTCTCACCATAAGCTGATCTTTTACGATTGCAATTTAACCATAAGGTCACAAGATCTGAACTGCTCCGAACAAAAGTCATGACCCATGCACGAAATCAAGTTCGTTATCCAAAACACAAGACAACTGTTAAACAATTTAAAACGTAAAATTGGAATAAATATTCACACACAAATATTTGTTGTTTTAATTCTAAACTATGCCTAGGCCTCATTAAAATAAACTAGTACTTATCACTTTAAAAATCACTTTCTTGAAAATGTGAAAATGATCGCATAGAAAAGTTTGTAATCGTTGTAGTGACGATCTTCCTTACACTTACATGAAGGACCAATTCTAGCATGATTTATTTCGTGAAGTTAGTGATGGAGCGCAGATCTTTGTTGCCATTTCATCAGCAAAGACGCCCCATTTGTTTTAAAGGCAGAATCTGTGACTGTGCGTTCTTCTCACTCATTTATCAACCTCAAAAGGAAAAAAGGCGAGTGATCCTGACGTGCTCGAACTGAGGAATTTTTGGCTTTGATTCTGACGCCATACCGACTGATTAACTCTGGTCTATGTAGCATATAATCCAGAAAAATAATCGGAAACAGTGTCAATGTGATGACGAACAGGGTCTCATGATGATGCACTACCCCAGAAGTATACTGCTTGAATTAAAATATTACCTTAAAACAAATAAAACAGACATATTAAGCGAAATATCAGTAAAGCGAAAAGGACAGTGAACAAAGCTATCGTATTTGCGTCAACACAAGATTACGTGGCATCTGTTTGGCAGATTACTGACTAAACTGAAGCATACCACCGTAATCACATTTTAATTGCAAAATCACAAACAATTAGCATATCACACCGATGATTAATATCGAGTTTCTGAGCTCGTTTCGCGAAATTTTCAAGAAACAATTGATTATTGATGTCAGTGTTCAGCCATTAAATAACTAGCATTGTTCAAACTGATTTTCTACAAAAGGTTGTTTTAGCGAAAATTCTGTAGTATTAAATCCAAACCGGCTGTTGAGCTGCT